CAGAGGAAAAAGGATTCAGGAATAGGAGGAGAGTATGGATTTTTCCAAACATGATGTCTTTCTCATGCAAGGGACGCTCCTGGCAACATGTCAAAGTACATGAGGCGGCCCCACCATCTAGATACAGGCACTTTGAGAAGCGGCGACTGCACGCCTTTGTTTAAGGAAGCTGTCTATGACTGTGCAGCCGCGCTCGCTGACTGATCTCGTGCAATTTTTGCCACGGGTAAAATCAACGTCTCAGGAACCCACAGGAAGGAAAGGGACACAATTTCCTGGATCGCTCTTTTAGTTCACAATTAGAAGAGATCATGGGGACCCTTCTGAAGTTTTCCTTTGGGTCCAGGCAGAATGAGACATTTTTGATATATTTGAGCAGCACCCACATTTGATTCATTGCTTAAGCTGGGTTGCTCTTCTCAAAAATCTGAGCACCCACAGAACAAGTTGGGGTGTTACAAATTCTTTAAAGATCCATCAACACATCACAAAGTTGCTAACACAAATTGGGAATATATAAAACATAGTAAGACCCATTTGCAAAGCATGGTGACAGTGGAAAGAAGTAAAGAAGTAAAGCCTCAGGGAGCTTCAGGCACAGCTCCCTGAAGTCTTCCACCAACATGTGTATATACTGACAACCAAATGCACATACATTGGCATTGTAGCCATGTTATAAAGAAATGCCCACTAGCATTTTCAAAATAATAATAAAGATAATGATGGTAACTGTGTTAGGACAGGATCTCTAGAAGCGCAAAACCAGTGATACTGGTATGTGTTGTCTGTAGAAATAGATTTATATCAAGAACTGGCTCACTAATAGGTGAGTCCAGTCCAGCTCAGGTCGGGCTTCTGATTCATGGAAGCTGATGAGCAGGAAGCAGAGAGCAGCAGGGAGCACAGGCTGGTGGCTCCAGAAGACTATGGTAGTAGAATAAATCCACCGCCAGGAGTGCAACGACAGCTGCTGGGATCAGCAGGTGATTCAACAGGAGATGAGGAACCAGATATAAGAACCAGCTCCAACAGAAAGCAAAGGACCAAAGAGGATTCAACTCCCCTCAGTCTCTCTTCAACTCTGCTGTCTCCCTCTCTTATACAGAGAGACTTATGACAGACACTAAGGAGGTGTCATCAGGCTGCCACCCAATTGATAGGTTGTGCTCTGCCACTACCCTGACCCAAGAGTTGACATATCTCTAACCACCACAGTAACCCAATACACCACTGACCATGTCCCTCAGTCTCTCTCTGACCTGCCTTCCCCCCCTACTTCGGCATCCCTCTCTCTTGCCTTGGCTGCCTTCCCTAACTTGAAAGGGAGGAGTGGTTGGGGTGACAGAGCGGTGTAGAGTTCTGCTGCTAACTTTTCGGTCAGTGGCTGACTCCACTAGCTGCGCGGTGGGAGAGAGGCGTGGCAGTCTGCTTCTGTGAAGGTTGCATGCTTGGAGATCCTGTGGAGCAGAGTGGACTCTGCCACACAAAGGGTCACCAGGACTCCGAATGGACGGACACTAACTATCATCACCTGCTCATACTGCTCCCCATTTCTATGTATCTTTGCACAGCAAGGAGGCCTGACGGCACAGTGGCTAAATGCTCAGCTGCTAACCCAAGAATCAGGAGTCCTTTGGATTCATAAATATCGCTGTGGGAACCCAGTGGGGCAGTTTTCCTGTCTCATAGGGCAGCCTCCAAAGAGACTCGACAGAAACAGGCTCACTTGAAAAGCACACCAGAAAACAGTAGTGAAAACTAGACTCCGAATGTCCAAGACTCCTGCTCATTTGCAAATGTCATTTTCTCAGTAATACCTTCCCTGATGAGTCTCAGACAGAGTTGCCACAGTCCAGGGGTGCTCACACTTTTTCAGCATGCGAGCCACTTATAAAATGATCGAGGCAAAATGGTCTGCCAACTCCAAAAATGCAAAACACATATTTATTTATTACATTTACTCATAAGTGCATTGAGAATTCTTCATATGTACAATGTGTGTTTATGTACCTTGCGTAATCGCATGAGTCCATATTGTACAACACAACACAATGAACTATCTACATTTTTTTGTCATTACCTGAGTTTACTCTGATGACTTGCACTGAATGGAATGAGCCAGGGATGCATAGTCCGGACAGGAGCTGCTGACAGCCAGTGTCAAGCACACTTCCAAATGATCATCAGCCATGGTGGAACGGCTCTTGGACTTCATGATCTTTATGTGGGAAAAGGCTGACTCACGTAAACAAGTACAGCCGAATAATGCAGTCAAGGAGGTAGCACATGTTCTCATGTTTGGGTACTTTCCCTCTGCGAGTAAGTTCCAGAACTGTTCATGCTCTCTGAACTTGAACTGAATGTCGGCTTGTAGTGTCAAAATCTCCCATTCCGTATGAAAGTGATATATTTTTGTCTTCTTATTTGGTCCAGCTCCCCCACTCATTTTAATAGCCTTTCTTATGTTTAAGAGAAAAAAATCCAAGGTCTAAAAATCATTGATACCTTAGCTTGTGCGGTTTGCTGCACTTAGTGCAGTTGTTTGCGCATGCATTTGATACCTAAGATTGCTTCTGATTGGCTGTGCTGTATATCAATTAAATGACAGGATTGATGATAGGCTTACTTCTATTTTTTTTTAATGCCATGCGATCTACCCACACTACATTTGCAATCGACTACATATCGCAATCGACATATTGAGCACCCCGCCCCAGTCACTACGGGGCTTTCCAGGGCATTTCGTATTTTCAAACCTTCTGGTGTGATCCCTCGTGGATGGCCCGTTTTCTTCAATGGCATATGAGCACCTTGAGAGCAAGGAGCTGGTCTGTCCTGTGAACCCACGGCCAGGAGAGGTGCTTGCTCCTAGGAGAGACTCAGTAAGTAAGTGTTGACTAACGAATACCCTGAATTCTATAAATCCAAAAGCATGCCTGTTGTCGATGAGTCTATGTAAGCTCATAATGGGCCCAAATGCTCGAGAGTTGGGCTGAGCTCCTTCCTAGTTCTTGGTAATCTTGGCTGTAATCGTTGTGGGAGCAGACAGACAGGCTTTTCTTCCACAGCCAGAGACCTAGGTTAAAAAAGAAAGGAGTTGGCAGGTAAAGTGACAAGGTTTGGAACTGGAAGGATCCTGAGAGTGAGTTATTTGGTTACCTGGGGTCCTTGGAAGGAATTTTCAAAAGAGACCCAGCAGGCAATCAGCACAGTGTCTCTCGAGTGTACAGTGGCTTAGGCACTGGGCTGCTAACTGAAAGATCAGTAGTTCAAACCCACCAGCCGCTCCCAGATGAAAGCTGAGGCTATCGATGCCCATCGAGATTTACCGTCTCCGAAACCCTGTGTGGGGTCTCTGGGAGTCGGAATCAATTAAAGGGTGGTGGGTGGCTTGGTTTGGGGGAAGTACTAGGGGGCCAGAGGAGCGCAGCCCTGCGGACTCGGCAGTAGAGCCTCACGTTCCATAGAGAGACCTGGGCTCCGTGCCTCACGCACAGCCGCCACCTGTGCTTCTGCTCTGACGCTGAACAGGTTTCAAAGGAGCTTGCAGACTTCGACGAGGAAGAAAGACCTGGCAATCTATTTCTGTCCATGGGTCAGTGAAGACCCTCCTAAGCAGCGTGGCCTGAAACTGCCCAGAGGTTTGGCCTCAGAGCTGGGCCCCAGCCGCCCCGGCAGCTCACACCGCCAAACCCTCGATCAAGTATAATTTTATGATGCTAACACGCGCCAGAAAAATGACCTGACCTCCGTGATTGGACAGTGTGCTTCCCAGCCTAGCACAAGGTTCTGTTTTCTCTGACCTCACTCTGATCCCCAGAAATACAATCCTAGTCTAAGGCCTGAGAGTTGGGTTCCCCACCTGGATGAAGCGCCCCACCGGATTGGCCTTCGCGTCCTGCGTTCACCCTGTTGGCTGTGAAGACCTCGGAGAGATCAAGGAGCAGGGATGCCCTGACGCTTTGTGGGCCTCCTTTCGCGGCTCCTCTGGGAGGCTCGCCTCATGCCTCCGCACAGATAAGTAGTAAAATGCCCTGTTCTGCCTGCAAATTAAGGCCCTTGTAAGTAATCAGGGAACACCAAGTTTAGCTCGCCGTGGATTTTCCATCCTGAGCGTCATTAGAGGAAACGAAAGCACACATTACAGGTCTGCATAATGAACAAGCCTCAAGTTAGGCTTGCCGCGATAGGGCCATCAGTCATCGTGCAGATTAATTATTTAGGAAAGCACTTTTTACGGCGAGTTTTCATTTGAGTGTTGCCCCTTGATGTATGTGTGTAAAAATGACGAATCCATCGGACATTGCTATTGTACTTGTGCATCGATCACCATCAGGCCTTTCCCCCCTTCATAATTGGTTTATTAATTATAGCATCTTAATGATCTGTTTAAAATAAATAAACCATTTACACCATTTCAAAGGTATTTTGTGAGGCTCAGCTGATATTAAAATAGCACCAGCCTTATGTGCTTTTTCAGCAAGTGACCTAATTAGTTAATAAAGTAATTGAATATTAAAAAGGATGTTGCAAGTGATTAAAATTTAAGAGCCTTCAGAATGTTATTAAAGCTATAAATCATACATCACTGTTTTAATTTGCATAGCTACAGAATTGCTAATGGTCCCACGTGCACACAGGGCTTGACAATTAGTCCTTTAACAAAATGTTGGTGATGTTGAGGTACCAACTTCTCCCAACCTCTTTTGATAGCTACATAGAAACCCGCTTTTGCCAAATTAAATACCTAACCGTAGAGATGGTGGTTTGTCCCTCTGACAGGTACTTCCTTTCAACCAATACCCAGGAAGACTAGTGTGTCCAAGCACTGAGCTGGGTGTGTGTGTGTG